TATGTTTTTGGACTTATACATGTTCCGCGCCTAGAAGACTGGCCTGTTATGCCTGTGGAGCACATTGGTTTTATGCTGCAGGTACAACAATATTGGGCTATGACATGTTTTTTTCTTGATTGGCAATGTCATCTGACATACAATATAAATCGCATTTGACTGGTCAGCATCTGAAACGACTGGACTGTGTTCCCATTTAAACTTTCCTTTCACACGTGTTTAGTTTTATGTAATTCCTGTCCCATTTACTTTTTCATTATGAATTTGGACTGGGAATGGTTGGAGAGTGTTTCTCGAGAACATCATCGCAAGCACTGACCAAGACATTTGTCCCTGAATCTGTCCTTGAGTTTGTGTTGGTAGAAGACTTATTGAACTTATATACTTGCTTTTGGATTTGTTTGGTTGGCTCTGCCTCAAGTTCTTTTCCTTTTGAAGCAATCTGTTTCTTTTGAGGATATATCCATCATTTGTGAAAACTGCAATGAGTCTTCTTAGATCCTAGCTTCACGTCACCATGTTACTGAACTAATGTAGATTAATGTTGTTCATGATGCAGCCTCATGGGTTCTTCAATTGCTCCCCAGCTGTTGATGTTCCTCCCAGCACAGCTGACTCGGATATTAAGGAAAACGGGGTAGTGACAAAGTCTTGCCACGACGGTGGTATAATGGCTAAGCTTTGATAGATTCAAGCTAGCTTTGCCTTCTAGGATTGGTTCATGTAACTTCGCATAAATTGGGTTTTCTTCCTGTTTGGAGCCTTTATGTAAGCGTTTCTTAAGAACATAGACTGCAAGTTGGCATTATTGTTCTGTGGACCAAGTCCCCCTTCCCCAAAAAAACCTACATCTCTGTCGGACACAATGATATTGATAATGTTGGCCTTGTTTCATTTGCTTCGTAAAGCATATATCATGGTTTTCTGGGTATATTATTCTGATACACACACCCATCTGAACTAATATTGAAAGGGTACTGGTTCCTTTCAAAAGTGGCTTTATTTGGAATATCTATGCTATAGAAGCCCAACCTCAATTAGAGGAGTATTGCATAGACTATTATGGAGTAAACTCTTATGATGTTGTAAAAGTATAATGGGTTGTCTAGTTTTCATCATGTTAATTAAGCTATATCTACTATTTGGTTAATCATGTTAATTAACCTGTAGCCTGCGTTGGTAAACTTCAGACAACTTTTTCTCTTCTTCTTCGTTCTTCTTTTTCTCCTCTTTGTACTATCTACTATTTGTGAGTTTCTTTGGTAAGGAAGACAGTTGTTTGACTGTTACACTCATTTCATCTCCAGTCGTGTTCAATGTCACCACAGACCATCTTTTTTGCGTCAATTTGGCAGGTTCGAACTCGCACGCACGTGCTGCGCACACATGATTGTTTCTTCTCAACGTTTTGGACCTTGTATTTCCTGTTTTGAGTTGAGATGTTTCTATATGTCTGTTTTTTCAACTGAATACATGAAAATTGTCTTTCAAAAGAAAAAAAAGAAAAACCACCCACAATGGGTGGAATTACAAATATCCCCATCTTCCCCGCATCAATAGAAGTTAATAAGGGGAGTCCCATCATTCTCTCTTCAATAAAAATTCTGTGCACCTACACTTACAAAATCCCTTCATAATATCTTGCTTCCATGAAATCGATGAAATTGTTTTCTTTCTTCCAGTTTATTGATGTCTGCTCCATTGGAGAATCCAACTATATATGCATCTGTGCATTTTCTTTTTATGCGACAGGTATGTGATCTTAAGAATTAGGTTCGGGAGTTGCTTTTAAATTTAAGCTGGCTCCGGGTGTCGGTAATAAAAAAGATTCTTCCATTTTCTTGGCAATTCTTCCATTTTAGGTATGAAATTAGGCATAACTGTCTGAGATTTGCCTTGCGTATGTCTGAACTGAGGTTCAGATAAAAATGTTTGAAGTTTGCTTGCATAAGCAATACGCTTCAATCGTGTATATCTGAAGTGGTTAAACTTACAAAAATTTCTAAATTTCGGCTATTGCCTTAAATGAGGGTCTCAAAATCGGCTATCTATGCACTTGCCCCTGTGATGTGGGAGGTGGATCACTGTAGCAAAAAGTGGTCTACAAGCTAACTCTTTTTTTTTTTTTTATTTTTGGTAATGAAGACATTTATTCTGCCTTGCTTAAAAGTTATTACAAGATGAGACTATTCTAGGACACAAGGTTCCTAGTTTGTCCAGTTCAAAAGTAGAGACAACAAAAGGGGCGGGGTGAGTACAACACAGAATTTCCAAAAGCGTTTGAGTTGCTTCCATGCTTGGCCAAAAGATCAGCGACTCCATTTGATTCTCTGAAGACGTGAGTAACCGTAGGTTCCCCCGCTCTAGTGAGCATCCATCTGCAATCATTAATCAAATTTTGGTATAGACAATTGTTGTTAGTAAGCATGTTGATTAGAATGTTGCAGTCTNCGAGTTTGATCTTATACGGGTGCGGGGCGGGTTGAAACTGTTTTTCCAAAAACTAACACGGGGCGGGGCAGTTGCGGGTTTCCTCGTAGCACTTCTCAACTTGTATAACTTTTTTTAACTTAACTTGTAAATGATTAGCAGCATTTCAATCTATGTTTTGGAAGTTTCTATTTGTCTTTTTAATATTATACAGTAAGTATTTTGATCTAGCATCAATAGGGTAATACTTGATATGATTAAATTAGTCAATGTTTGCCAATAATAGCTAGTCACCTCACATTTGACGGATTTCATTAAAACAAGACAAGCTCACAAGTCGTATCTTCAGGATTCATTTAGGAAAGTTAATGGAAATACGAAAATCCCGAAAATATAAGAGTAATGAATTAGAAGTGCATGCACAGATTTATAATCTCTGAAAATAGAAATATAATATTTGGATCCATATGGGGGATTTAAGAAACTGAAAAAAGTGAAATATTAAACTTGTGTTTTTTTTAGCAAAAAAAAAAATGAAAAAAAAATTGCGGGACAGGGTGGGGCGGGTTGAAAATAGAAAAAACTGCTATGCAGGGCGGGACAGTGCGGGTTGAAATTTTACGGGTTAAGTTCCAACCCGCCCCGCCCCGTCCCATTGCCATTCCTTCACTTTCAATTTCTAATGGCATGATGTTTTGTTGCAGGGCTATTTTTAGACCATGCATAAGGGCTAGGCCTTCCATGTAAATATTAGTTGCATAGGGAATGGACATGTTGAACCCCAGGATCCCGTTACTGTCAGTGTTTCGAAAGACACCCCAATGCCCCCTTTTCCTAGGTTGTCTATGCTCGAGCCATCAATGTTTAATTTAAAGGTGCCCGTATTTAGTGACTTCCATTTTATGTAGATAGTAGTCCTTAGGCATGGATTCTTATTTGAAGCCGTTAACAGTTTAAACTCAATTGTGCTATTGACCACATTTTCTAACTAGAGTGCATTTTTGTTGTTGTTGAAGATATAATTGTTTCTGTGTATTCAAATGTGCCAAAACTATAGTTTTAGTAATTGTACTCTTTGTTTCTTGAACTACAACTTTAATTTCAATAATTTTATTTCCTAATGTATATGTCAAGAGCGGCTCCATAAAATTGATGGTCTAAAGCCAAATTTTAATAAGAGGCCTTATACTTTTTTTATTAGTACGTATATACACATATATGCAAAAAAATTAATCTTGCAATTTTTTTTCATACTTGTTATTTATAGAATATATTCTTAAATGACATAAAGTCTTTAACTTCACATAATAATATTATTTTTTATATTAGAAAAGAAAAATTTAAATAAATGAGATATTAGACATGTATTTGTAATATGTTACCTTTGATATTGTTGTAAAAGATATATTTACTAATATGAAGATTTAAGTAGTTTAATTCAAAGTTTTGAAAATATTTTACTATTTAAGAGTAGACACCTTTCTTTCTTTTTTATAATGTTTTTTGTACTTTTTTATTTTTTCTACAAACATTAATATTGTCTAATTTGAAATAAAGTTATAAAATCCATTATTAAAAATTTTGGGGGACCTAAATCAAGGCTTTACTAGTCTCCTACTAGAGCCACTTATCCGCCCCTGACATTCTCAATAAAATTTATAGTCTCACTTAAAATAAGGCAACAATGACAAGAGCATTAAAGGCAGCGAGTTTGTCCTTCAGTTACCAAATATGAATGAAGCTGGTTGAACAGTATGTTTATAGTGGGGCAGTAGTCTGTAAATAATTGTTGATTGTCAATGAGGGGCGGCTCAACAAAACTGGTGGCCTAAACCAAAATATATTAAAAAGACCCTGAAACGTCTTTAAAATCCATATATTATTGAGGCACAAAAAAAACCTACATGACTTTGATATAGTGGTGAGAGCACAACTCATGATATATGAGTTAGGCGCGCGTCATATGGTACTGAATTCTTCCCTTAAATGAAAATGGTAAACGGTGAGCCCATTATTCATCATGTTTTGAACCTTGCGACATTTGCCTCGGGGATTTCTTAGTTAAAAAAGATGAGACACAAAAGAACTTGCTTTTTGGTGTGTGGATCAATCAAATGTGACCAAAAAAATAGTTAATTTAGAGAATTGGAGTTGAAATTAGAAAGTAAAATCGTAAGAACCATGAAAAAAGACTATACATAAAGAAAAATAAAATTGATGAGAAGGTAAATATATTATTTAATTTAGTGAGAATTTTTTTTCCAATTAACTCACTTAATCTTACGTCTACAAAATTTTAAAAATTATTAAAATTTGAAATCTTTTATTAATAATTATATAAATATAAATTATATATTATATAATAATATAGTAGTCCTTTTTATTTTTGGGGCCTTAATTATTTGGGGGCCTAAGGCAAGGACTTCACTTGCCTTACCCTAGAGTCCCCATGATATATGTTACCTATTAATTTAACTATCCCTAGTTTCCTAGTGTGGTACACTAATCCTAACCGTGTCATCATATGTTAAGACACGGTTAACACATTACCTCTTATAAATAATTGGATAATGGATTCCTACGTACATGCTTGGCCATTCTCTTGTGCGCAATTTGCAAAAAGAGAGTACGTAATGAGAATGGCAAAAGAAATCCACAGTGAAAGAAGAGGGGAAATTTCAAGAACCAAGAAAGTTGGCAGCAGCAGTAATAGCATTAAACTATTTGGAGTTGTGATCACTACTAATTTTGGTAGTTCAAGTTCAAGATCCAATACGGGTAGAAGAAACAATAATAATAGTAATAAGGGAACAAGATGGAGTGAAGATGAACACAGAGCATTCTTGATTGGATTGGAGAAACTTGGGAGAGGAAATTGGGCTGGAATTGCTAAAGAATTTGTGCCAAGCAGAACACACACACAAGTTGCTAGCCATGCCCAGAAATATTTTGAAAGACTGGAGGCTGAAAAAGATAACAAAAGAGCAGTGATCAAACGCCAAAAATTCAGTGTCTTCGACATTAATTTGGCTGAAGAGTCTTGTCGTTCATCTTCACCTACTAATCAACCCGTCTCAGAGGAGGCCAGTTCGTCGAAAAGGGTTGTTGTTCCAGTAACAAAAGACAAAGAACCTTTGAATCAAGAAACTCCAATTTCACCAATGCCAATCAGCTACAGAGTTCCAGGATTTCCTCCTGTCCCTATGGCTTACAATAAGAATTTGACAATCTCCAGTAATAATCAGGGACCTCATGTGTACACGGCTTCTTGGGTTCCTAATATTCCGTTTAATGGAAACTATGCCTATTTTCCCAAGTCATATTATCAGTTTGCTAACATTAGTGCACATAATTTTGCCTCATCATCAACTAATGCCACTCCAGACCAGCGTGTTTCGTCTCAATCTGATCGTGCGTCTGTGGACAATTTGGATCTTACTATTTAAGATAGAATGGCAATGCCTTTTTGTTTGACAAGATTTAGTCAATTTTGAATCTCTGTTAGCAACCGTAGAATTTTACTTTGTTGTAAGGAAATTTTTGCCTTAACTGTTGATATATTTGCTGAGGATATGTTAGATTAGGCTTGTTATATGTAGCAGTTGTCAGCTTTATATTTGTCTCTCTTATGAAAACTTAATATTTTTACTTGTGGCATCAATAGCAGTAAATTTTTCTAGTTTTGTCGACGGGAAAGGAAAGTCTTTTGCGTCCTGGGAAAATCATCCATCTGGTTCTGAAATAATTTAACTCTATTTCTTTTCTTCTTTCTTTCTTCCCTTAATCCGAATAAAGATTTTCCAAGATCTGTGATATACTGTATAATTTTGTTTAATAAAATTTCAGAAACTTGTTCAGAAATAGGAACCTCTCACTTGGGAATTCTTGTGTATCAAGAACTTAGGGACGATCCTTGAGTTTACAATGAAGCTGATTCAGAAGATCAAAAAACTTTATAAAGTAAAATCTTACATTATTTTCGATAAAATATACACGTGCAAATCTTAAAATTATTTTTAATTTGTTAGCTCATGTTAAACTAGTTTATCCTAAATTGTTTCTTTATGTTACCTAAATTGTTAGCTCGCTTATAGTTTGTACCAATTTATTTTAAGATATAACTCTTTACTTTTTTTTGTCCTATTATTTTTGTAAATTAACAACTTTGTTATTTGTTAAATTTATTAGAGTCTAATAAAAGTCTAAATTGTTTAAATAGAATATTTTTAAAGTTTAAATAAAAATGTAAAATTAGATCTATAAATTGTTAACATTTTAGTTAAAGCAATTCACTACAACATTATGCAACGAATTCTTTGCTACGAATAAAAAATTTGTGGCTATTACCTAACAATAGCCATAAAATTAAAATTTCCTGGCTGTTCACAATCTGGTGAAATTTCTTAGCTACAAAAAGTAAATTAACAAAGCTAATTCCTCCTTTTTGCTATAGTTTATTAGTATCGTGGCAATAATTGTGAAAATAGCTACACATTTATTGCTATACTAAAAATTTGTAGCTAATTTTAGTTTTTGCCACGTATTTAAATTATTGTAGAAATATAAATTTTTAGCCACAATAAATTATGTCAAATAAAATATTGAACATCTTTGCTTCAAGTTATAAAAATCGTGGCAATAATTGACTCAATAGCTACGATGTATATCATGGCAAAATAATATAGCCACAAATTTATATAGTCACAATAAGTATTGTAGCTAATTCTAAGTTTTTGCTATGCATTTGAAGTTAATGTAGCAATTGTAATTTTCTAGCCACGATTCATTTTCTTGCCATAATTTTATAGGTAAAAAAATAGTCTTGCTTCAATTTTCAAAAATCGTAGCAATTGTTGGGGTATAATTTTTTTATTTGGGTTTTCCCTTATAAGGTGATATAATATTTATAGCTACATTTATTTGTCATAATAGATAATTTCTTATTTGGGTTTTTCTTTATCAAGGAACATGGATATATTTGTGTCTATAAAAATAGGACAAACATTTTACACACCTTGTGTCAATTATGAAATAAAATTATAGAGAGAAGGAAGGCAAGAGGTTTAGTCCATGATTCATTAGTTAAAATGTATGCAAGGGACTCCAGTTGGATTTGTTAGAGTTTATAAATCCAAGTATAAATTAAAATTCTTACAATCACATAGCTATTCCTAAATCAAGTGTCATGCATCGAGAACTTGTCAACAGAAAGAACAGTCATTTCAACTTTAGCAATCATGTTTAAGCTTCAACAGAATCTATTTTTTATAAACAACTATGCTATGTTTAACAATATTTATTTATTAATTTAACAAAAAATTCGCCATAATTTTCCATGTAACTGGAGAATCAGTCAAACATAACACCTAGTAGAAAAGATCATTCAACTCAATCTAACTACAATAATCAAGTCAACACTATTGAATATTAACTTATATTCAATTAGAGTAATTCAATGTAATAAAGTAATACATAAATCCTTTAAAATAATAAAGAACTAAACATCATCTCTCAAATAAATAAAAGTTTAACATTGCTTGAGGATAAACAATTATGCATATAAGGCTTCTAAATATTTATAGTAATAAATTTTTATCATCAGTTTCAGGCTCTGATTCAATGTCTTCAATAATATCACCATCTAAGGTAACATTAGTGCCGATAACATCAAGATCATTTCTTCCCCAGTTCATAAAGTCTTCATCTTCCTCAAACGTACACGAGAACTCTTGAGCATTTTGTTGAAAAGTTTCTTCACTGACAACACCACCAGTAAAATAAGTAGAATGACCATTCAAGACAACGAACCAATTGGGATGAAGATTATCCTTGACATAAAAAACTTGTTCTGCTTGAGATGCAAGCACAAATGGTTCACTTGCTGCTAGCTTTCGGTTAGTATTGACACTAACAAAACTATATTTATCTATCGTCACTCATTTTCCAATGTGATCAATATCTAACCAATCACATTTAAATAAAACAATCCGTTTACCTTCTAGATATTGAAGTTCTACTAAAGGTCATAGTACCATAATAATTTATATTTTGACAATTCATTATTCCTCGTACTAAAACACCACTATTTTGCTTCACGCCGTTTTCCTTCGAGTTGTTTAGTATGAAATCTAAAACCATTATCTCATACCCTTTGAATCTTTGGACTCCATCAAAAGGACCTCTAGCCAAAGAATACAACTTGCAACTTACATGTTTTTCTTTCTTTCTCATTTGCACAATAATAAATAAATAAAATAATGATGCTAAAGAAGTATTATAAAAAAAATTAACAATGTAATGAAAACTTACTCGATGGAAAAACCAACCGTCGAAGTTCATGTTCCTATTGTTCTGCTCGTACTCACTATTTAAAAAAAAAGCATAATAATTGAGAAAAGACTAACAAAATCAAGTAGAAATGTACAATGACATAAAGAAAAATACCGTTAAAATGGTTGAACTTCTTCACAATTTCTCAAAACTTAAAGATGAGCTTGTTTTCGCTCAAGCTCTTCAAGATTTATGGATGTATCTCTTAATAAAGGGCAATCCTTTTGTTCAAATATTGATAATCTACTGAATGGCTCAACCTGATCACCTTCATAATTTTTGTCCATTGAATTATTCTCTTTCCCACTTCCATGTAAATACCTTAAATAAAATATCAAACTTTCTTTAACAATATATCCTTCCACAATAGATCCTTCAGGTCGACATCTATTACGAACATAACATTTCAATTTGCGCAAAAATATACATGATATAGGCAGTTAAACGCTTAACATGATAAATTAATAAACCACAAAAAATAAATTGAAAGTATCAAATACTAAAATATACCGCTCTATTGGGAACATCCACATGTATTGTACAGGTCCATCAATCTTAACCTCTCTTGGAAGATGAATGATCAAGTGCACCATAATATCAAAAAATACTGGTAGGAATATTTTTTCTAATTTGCTCAATGTTATTGGAATTTGAGTTACAAGCTGATCTAACACATCAACTCTTACTGTTTTTTAACATAACTTTTTAAAGAAAATACTTAGCTCAGTGATAGAAGCATAGACATTGCTCGGCAGAACTCCGCGAATTGCAAAAGGAAGTAGCTATTCCAAAAGAATATAAGAATCATGACTCTTCAGTACATAAATTTTACGATCCCTTAACTTTACGCATTCGAAGAATAACCATATGGAACCTTAATATTTTTTAAAAACTTGCTTACTTTAGACTTCTCATGTGGTGATAAAGTATAACATGCTGCTGGATAATACCACGTTCTATCTCTTTGAGTAGGATGCGAATCTCTTCTTATACCCATCTCCTTCAAATCATGACGAGCATTCAGATTATCTTTTGTTTTTCTTTCCATATCTAATAACGTCCCAATAATATTGTCACACACATTTTTTCAATGTGCATGACATCTAAATTATGACATATTAAATTATTTTTCCAATAAGTAAGTTTGAAAAATATGCTTTTCTTCCTCCAGTTATAAGTGATTTTACCCTTTCGTGTCTTTATTTCTTTCGGTTCTTACCAAATTTAATGTCTTCCAAGCTAGCCAAGTGATTTAAAATATTATCTTCAGAGAGAATTTCAGGAGGATATTTTCTTTCCACTTCCCCGTTAAAGTCGCATTTATTTCCCCGTCACGTGTGATTAGATGAAAAATATCTACGAGCACCCATGTAAGAGAACTTACAACCATACTTTAGATGAGTAATGGAGTTTCTTTATTGCATGAAGGGCAGGCCAAAGCTCCTTTTGTGCTCCATCCAGACAAGTATGCTGTCATGATCCAAAATCTCACATGTTGTGATGTCGCCTATCTCAATCCTAGGCAAGCCGATAACCTCAATAAATCACAATAATCTTTTAAGTTTGAAAACATAATATTTAGGTTTAATAGATAATCCCACAAATACTGATACGAAATACACTCCAAAAATCCAGTGTCACTGAGTACATGAGCATCGAAATGACAACACAGTCTGACTGATAAAATATTGTCTGGAAATATAGAACAGTACAAATAACTAAAAGGAAAGAGAGTCAAGGTCTGCGGATGCCAAGCAACAACCCCGATAATCTCCAACAGATAAATCTCCGAAATCTAGCAACCGCCGTATCCGAAATTACCTGGATCTGTATACGAAATGCAGAGTGTAGTATGAGTACAACCGACCCCATGTGCTCAATAAGTAATAAGACTAACCTTTGGGGTGAAAGTAGCGACGAGCTCAACAGGTACAGTCCAGTATAAAAATAACAGTACAGAAATATAGGCATGCTTTCAAGTTCAACATTTAAACTCAGTACAAGTAAAAATAGATAAATCCTGAATGATATGAGGAATATGACATCTCTATATTTACGTGCCAATGTACATGCGGTATGTGATGCACCTTAATGGAAATCTCATGCACTCACACCC